CACTATTCACAATAGCAAAGACTTGGAATCAACCCAAATGTCCATCAGTGACAGACTGGATTAAGAAAATGTGGCACATATACACCATGGAATACTACGCAGCCATAAAGAAGGATGAGTTCATGTCCTTTGTAGGGACATGAATGCAGCTGGAAACCATCATTCTCAGCAAACTATCACAAGAACAGAAAACCAAATACTGCATGTTCTCATTCATAGGTGGGAATTGAACATTGAGATCACCTGAACACAGGAGGGCAAACATCACACACCGGGTCCTATTGTGGGGAGGCGGGGGAGGGATAGCATTAGGAGATATATCTAATGTAAAAGATGAGTTAATGGGTGCAGCACACCAACATGGCACATGTATACATATGTAACAAACCTGCATGTTGTGCACATGTACCCTAGAACTTAAAGTATAATTTAAAAAAAAATGTTCTATTCCCCTAGAACCACATTTGATACCAATAATTGTATTAGTAAGTCTTTAGTTAGGGAAGCAGAATTGCTATGGTTGTTATGGCATAAGGGATTTATTATAGTAATAAAACCTCACAACTGTGGAAGGAGCTAGAGATGGAAAGGTATACAAGTGGGGTTGGATGATCAGGAAGGGAGTCAGTCAATCTAAGCCAGACATGTCCAACTGAAGGGGGAACTCATGGATAGGTCTATGGGAAACTTTAGCCTTGGTATAGCTAAAGCTTCTGTGGGCCCACATTCAAGTGTCTGGTGGTAGGCCTGGGCCACTCTTGGCAGTAGGGCTAGCAGTTGAGGAGAAGAACTGGACTTGGAGAAGAGGAGAGCAAGGATATGCTAGGAACTGCTTGGCACCTGTGTGCCTACCTGACCGACTACATCTGACTATGTTGACCTCCAGAGTAATGGCTACTGCTTTATTTCTAACTTCCAAATACCACACAAGTTCCTCTTTTGACCAACTCTAGCCTGGAATCATACAGAAAAGAGGACTCTGATAAACTCAGTTCCCAGATTAATTAAATGACACAGTAAAAACCACCTCAGCATCCAAAGACTGACCTGGGGCATCCCAACTTTCAGAGTTCAGAAAGAAGAGAAGGAAAAAGGAAAATGACTGGAAAAAGGGGCTGCCAGAAAAATCAAAGGAAAAGCTAGGAGAGTTTGTTGTCTAGCACCCAGGTGAAGAAAAGCATCTCAAACAAGTGAGAACAATTTAAAATCTAAAATGCTGTTGATGGGTTAAAAACAATGACTGAGAAGCAATCACTGAATATTCCAACATAACAGTCTCTGATGGCCTTCAAGAGAATGGTTTCAGTGGAATGAGAGAGCAAACTTTATTGGAATGGTATTTTTCAAGAGAAAATGGGAGTGCACTGAAGATAGCACATTTAACCAAGGAGTTTTACTAAAAAAGGAAGGCGAGAAAGAAGCTAGTGACTAGACGGAAAAATAGGATTAGGTGAGTTTTGAGAATAAAGGAAGAAGGGAGCATGGGGAAAGGAATGATCCAGTAGAAGGAAAATCTGACTGTCCTGGAGGAATGCTGAAGCAATATGCTTGAGGGGATAGGAGGCAGGGTGGGGTGAACTCTAGTGTATAAATGTAGGCTGTATTCATCCATTTTCATGCTGGTGATACTTACCCAAGACTGGGTAATTTATAAAGAAAAAGAGGTTTAATGGACTCACAGTTCCACGTGGCTGGGAAGGCCTCACAATCATGGCAGAAGGTGAAAGGCACATCTTACACAGCAGCAGGCAAGACAGAATGAGAACCAAGCAAAAGGGCTTTCCTCTTATAAAACCATCAGATCTTGTGAGACTTATTCACCACCATGAAAACAAAATGAGGGTAACTGTTCCCATGATTCAATTGTCTCTCACCAGGTCCCTCACACACCACATGGGAATTATGGGAGCTACAATTCAAGATGAGATTTGGGTGGGGACAGAGCCAAACCACATCACAAGCAACAGATTTAACTGAGAGCGTGGGGAGGTCATCCATTCACTATACCTGGAGGGAAGAAAGAAAAAATGTGCAGAGACAGGACGATTGCTTTTCTAGTAAGATTGGAAGCAAGGTCATGAACTGAAAACAAGGATAGAGTTGGAATCGTTAGAAGTTTGAGGAAAGAAAAGAGAGTTTGAAACAGCTATGGAAGATTGTATTTTTCAAAGATACTCAAAACATTATAGATCCCATTCCACATGCTCTTCTTACAACGTGATGTTGAGATCTCTCCATCAAGAGGTGAGTGTCTGTGTTCCCACCTACTTGAAACTGGGAGGTGCTTTGTAACTGTTTCAAACAATAGAATGCAGCAGAAATGACACCACATGACTTCCAAGGCTAGCTCATAAAAGGCAATATAGCTTCTATGTGGGCTTTCTCTCTCTCTCTCAGAACATGTGTCTTTGGAACCCTGAGTCACCACGCGAGAAGTCTGGCCACCCTGAAGCAGCCATGTTGGAGAGACTACACGGAAAGACCACATCTTAGAGATCACAGGTAGAAACATATGAGGAGCCCCAGAGGTTGCTGCATCTGGCTTTTTCAGTCTTCCAGCCCAAGTACTCAACATGAGAATGAATGACTGTCAGATAATTCCAGTTCCCAGCCTTCAAGCCACCTAGTTGGTGCTCAATGAAACAGAGACAAGCTATTCCCACGGAGCTGTGCCAAATTTACAGATGCATAAGAAAAATAAAAGTTGTTGTTTCAAGCCACTAAGTTTGGATATAAACTTGTTATGCACCAATATAATTGGATCAATAGTTATCTAGGAAGTTATCTAGGATGCCATCAATGAAGCATCTCTTGGTTTTGATTAACTCACCCAGAGAGTATGGTTTGGCTGTTCTGGGGCCTATCATAATTGGGGTGTAGAGGGCTACAGGAAGGAGGAGGTACTCTTCAGTGTTTATATTTTAAAATGGTTCCACAGGGAACATACAGAGAATAATTGACAAAAATAAGAAGCACGAGGGTTAAGGACCAAGTTCCATGGAAACTGGCATTTAAGTATGAAGTGAGCAGAAGGAGTGTTCTTGAAGAGTGCTTCTCAAATTTTTTTAAAAACACCTGCATTGAGGTACAATTTATATATTATAAAATTCACCCATTATAACTATATAATTCAATGATGTTTAGTAAATTTATAGAACTCTGCAATCATCACCAAAATTCAGTTTGAAAACATTTCCATCACCTCAAAATGTTTCCTCCTTGCAGTTAATCCCTGTTCCCACCCCAAGCCCTAGGCAACCACTAATCTACTTTCTGTCTCTATAAATTTGCCTTTTCTGGACATTTCACATAATGAAATTATGCAAAGTGTATTCTTTTGCATCTGGCTACATTACATTTTCAAGTTTCATCCACGTTGTAGTGTGGATTTGTAGCTTTTCTTAAATTGCTGAATAGTATTCCATTATGTGGATAAATCACATTTTATCTGTTCACCAGCTGATAAACAACTGAATTGTTTCAAGTTTTTGGCTATTGTGAATAATCCTGCTATAAACAATTACGTACATTTCTTTGTGTGGATATACATTTTTGTCTCTCTTGGGTAGAATCCCAGGAGGGCAATTTCTGGATTATCCTGTAAGTTTAACTTTTCAAGAAACTGACTGTGTCCTTTGCAGGGACATGGATGGAGCTGGAGGCCATTATCCTCAGCAAACTAACACAGGAACAGAAAACCAAATATCATGTGTTATCACTTATAATGGGGAGCTGAATGATGCGAACACGTGGACAAATGTGAAGGAACAACACATGGGGCCTGTCGGAGGGTGGGAGTGGAGGAGGGAGAACATCAGGAATATGTAATGGATGCTGGGCTTAATACCTGGGTGACAGGATGATCTGTGCAGCAAACCACCATGGCACACACTTACCTATGTGACAAACCTACACATCCTGCACATGTACTCTTGAACTTAAAATAAAAGTAGGACATTTTTCAAAAAGAAACAATTATTTTTCAGTTTGCCCTCATTCTTCTTCCTGTACCGTGGGAGAAACTTGGATGACACAGCCACCTAATGGGCAGGGGAAGAGAAGAGTTTGGAAACACACATGCATTAATAGGTGATGTCTTGTCACGAAAATTATTGCTCTTGTTTTCTAGATTAAGAAATTGGGGCCTGGAGTGGGTAACCTGCCCATGGTTATGCAGCCAGTTTGAGGAAGATCATCACCAAATACCACCTTGAACTTCTAGAGCACTATCTGGAATGTGTGGTGCTGACACCGTATAATTTACTGTTTCATTTTAGTCTTCCCTGTGTGGTTTTGTTCTCTGGCTGTTTTGTGTTCAATTGGAGTAGATTTCCTTAGCCTTGGGTTCCTTGTATAATTATTCCACCATTGTCTCCTTTAATTATGTGGTTGTTGTCCTTCAACTCTTATTTTCATGTATCTGTATGTTTATTCTGAGCTTCCTCCGATTCAATCCTTTTTTGGAAGAAAATGAAGCATAAAAGTATAAGTAAATAAAATAGCAGTTTCATGTGTATTGCTATTACATTCCCAAATGAACTGGGGACACCTTGAAGCCAGGATTTGTGTCTTAGAATTCACTTGCTCACAGCCCCCCAACACCTAGAGCGGTACCTGGAAGTGTTTCACAAACCCTTGTTTCAAAATTCACCAAATTGAGTGAGGAGGGTGGGAGCTACCATTGTTGACCACTTACTTCCTGTCTGCTACTCTGCAAACAATATTTCAGCTCATCCACACAATGAGGTGTTAGTATTCCCGCTTGTATAGGGTGACCCATACATCCCTCTTTGTTGGGGACCATCCCAGTTTTAACACTAGGAGTCCTGTGTCCCAGAAAAACCATAGACGGTTGATCACCCTACACTTTAGGGATGAGGCCACTGAATCTCAAAGAGATGAATTACCTTCTCCAACTTGTCTTACAGCTCCAAATCCAAGCCTGCCTGGAGTGTGGAACTAGATTATTAATAGGACAGATTGGAGTATAGGAGAAAAAGAAAGTGGGGTTGTCCAGGGAACCCTGGTCAAAGGCTCCGGTATGCCCCAGCAAGTGTCCCCTGAGCACTGTTGCAGTGCCACGAGGAGTAGCTTAAAGTCCTAGAGAAGAGACTGGGGTGGTTTAAAGAACTGTGAGTGGCAGGGCTTGGAGTTGGTATTAAGATTAACCGTAGGGGTATAGTACAGAAGGGAAGGCAGCAGGCTCAGCAGGGTTCTTCTCACCCAAACTGGCTACCTTGGACCCTCTGTTGCAGCCCCTGACGGTCTGTCTGCCTGCTGCTTGTATCACAGACTTGAGTCAAGCTGACTGCATCAGCTGACACTATATGTTCCACCAACAGAGTAACGAATGAGTAATTTGGACCGATCATTATTCCCTACTTACTACTCACATGCCAAATATTTACGGAAACTAATACAGCGTTAAGTTTACAGCTGATAATACGGAAACCATTAGCTCCCCCTAGTCATCCCTCTTCCCTCTGGCGGAGAATCGCTCAACCTTGAAGGACACCAGCTGAAGACTTTAAGCTGTGTGATAAAGTTCACATTTCTTTTTTGTGACAAAGACATTTAGAGGCTCTCTAGCAATCTTTCTTGTGTGCTACATTTTTGCCTATTTAGTTTCTCTGCCTGTGAATCTACCTCTCCCCAAGTCACAAAAAATGAGGCCCTGTGTTACTGAAGATCCAAGACATGCAGATTCCACATCTGTCCCCAGCCCAGCTTCTGATGCTTCCCAGACAATGGAATAATCCAGTCACTTGCTTTCCTTAGGCTCAGGGGCCACCAAAGGCTGCATGTGTTGGCTCCTATAATCCAGCTGAACCCATTATGGTCACCAAGCCCCTCTGTGCCCTGCACTGAGCCCAGAGCTGGATACACAGGCTGAACGGCATGGTCCCTGTCTTCAAACTGCTCACAGGATACTAAGGTACTGACAGTCTTAAGGCATTTATGAGGGAAAAAAATAGGTCATTATAGTTTATGTTGCTGGTGTGATTAAAAAGCAGTTACGTCCTTCAAAAGGCCCAGAATGATACTAAAATGGAGCGACACAAGGACATGTGAACCAACTATCAATTCAAAACAATATTTTCAGAACAACAGAATAAGAGGGAAAACACATTTATTGTGGCCTTGTGTGGATAACACCCATAACTTCAGCTTCCCACTCTTGTTTGGAATTTTGCATTTTTCAAGATTTGTTTATTTTTGATCATTGTATCCAAACACAGCAAATTTTAAATTATATGTCTTATACACTCTAGGGGTTATTAGCTAGACAATTCTGTGATTTTCCTTCTCAAGCTATGTCTGTTACTGATCCTTAGAGCTTCTTTGACAGATCTTCGTAAATCAGATTTATATATAGTCATATAATTCAGGCTACATTTATGTTCTTATTATCAGTGAAATTAATATCAAGTGAAAGCTTTCCATTTTTAAAGAACTGGACTCAAGGAAAAATGAACTTTCGACCCAAATTGCTTTGATTTGCAACTCTTTCAGCAATCAGAACTCTAAAAGTCAATTTGTGGATCTGAATTTGAGAGCCTGCTATTTTTAATTAAGTATATAAATCCCCCTACCTCATTTTCCATTACAGCTATGTGTGGGGCCAACCTTGCTCTGCTGAAGTGCAGAATACATCATGTGTTTCACTAGCAGTAAATCCATCCCTGGAGACTTATCGATGGCCATGATCTGTCAAAGGTGGTCAGAAGATCAATGTTTCAAATACCCTCTAATGTGGATAAAAGAAACTTAGCTAATAATTTTTCCACATTAGGTTAGATTTACTTTAGGAAGCTTGGTATTAGAATGGGCTCTCAAAAAGATTTCAAAAAATTTTCAATTCCCCCAAGAGAGAAAAAATATATTCAAGAAAAGACACTAAGAGTGGCACAGAAGATGAAAAGAAGTAGTGTAACATTAGTCCTTACCAATAACCCAGCTCTGAGTTCCACCGGCTGCTCCAAACCTATGTCTTTGTTTTACTTCATTAAGGCCAGAAACTGACTTCTTAAAATTTGACTTTTTGAGGACAATGTTGCCAAGAACTTATGGGTCACCAGGACACCAGGATCACCTAGAACTTCAACAAAATAAGCCACTGACCTGCTCCAGGGATTTCTGCAAAGCCACCTGGCTGTGCAACTGGACTAACAGCAGACTGACGGACAATGCACAGAAGAGATGAGCTTCCCTCTGAGAAAATGGATGGGTTCAGTGCTCACAGAAAAGAAAAAAAAAATGGACCCTAAGAACTTCAAGCTATTAAGTTGACTTCTCCCTAGTGCCACAATCTGCTCTAGGGACATGGCAGAAGATGTTGTTTTGTTTTGTTTTGTTTTGTTGAAACAAGGTCTCTGTCCCCCAGGATGGAGTGCAGTGGCAAGGTCTCAGCCCACTGCAACCTTTGCCTACCGAGTTCAAGCAATTCTCCTGCCTCAGACTCCCAAGTAGCTGGGACTACAGGTGCATGCCACCAGGCCTGGCTAATTTTTGTAGTTTTTGGTAGAGATGGGGTTCATCATGTCGGCCAGGCTGGTCTCAAACTCCTGACCCCAAGTGATCCGCCCACCTTGGCCTCCCAAAGTGCTGGGATTACAGGTGTGAGCCACTGCACGCAGCCAGAAGAAGTTTTTATACCAAAGAGAATAACCTTTTTTGCTAAATAATTTTTTAGAATTTCCCCACTAATTAGGCTCATGACCAGCAAAGTCAGCCGCTTTGCTTATTTGACTCAATAATTTTGTCTTCATAGTTTTCCATGTTAGCCCAGGCTGTAGCTGTTCTGAAATTATCTTTGCATCCTGTGGGAAAGGTTCCAATAGTTAACAAAACGCTTCTGCAAATAATGTCATTTATTCACTCAAAAATTATTGTGCACCTCCTGGGGCCCGGGTACTGTGGTGGGCACTGGGGAAAGGCCCATTTCATCCTGAGGTCTTTACATCAGTCTGTAGATGGGAGCTTGAAAAGCTAGCAATGTATTTATTTCCAGGTGTTCCCACATCTGGGGGTATGCTGGCAGAATCTCAGCCAAAATGGAAGGCTCAGGTCAGATGGCACTTAATTGAGTCAAAAGCTGTGCTTGGTCCGGTGAACAGCTGGGGCCTGCCTGATGGGAATTCTGCCTGTGCTAGGGCCTGCTCAGCTCAGAGGGCGCTGGACCAGAAAGTACTGAAAAGAGCCCACAGGTCCTTACTACAGCCTTGCAAGCCTGGAAGGGCTAAGGGTTAAATCTGAAGGAAATGGTACTGTCAAACTGTACTATTGCTCCAGTTTCTGGCCCAGCATATAAGGAGCTTAGAAGTCACTACTACACCCCAGCAACAAGTAAAATGCTGAACAAACTGAAACATCAGCAACGCTTCTTGGATCCATAAGAGAAGTGAAGTCACCGGGCAAACCATTGCCCCTAAAATTAGAGAGACTGGCAGATACAAAGAATCACAACATACCAGAATAGAAACTTAGAAGCACAAACCTCTGCAGGAACCAACACTGGGCAGCAAAAGCAGAACTGTAATTGACAAACTGCAGGAAGTTCAGTGTGGAAAAGTCTGAGAGTTATAAACTCCAGGGGGACCTAGGCATGGGGTGGGGCCCTAGGCATTTGTGAGTTTGACCCCCAGGAGCTCTGCCAGATCCACACAGTACATATCAGAGAAAAATGCGCTTGTGTTTCTGTCACAGGGAGGAGAAATGGAACCCACTGGGAACACTCCAGAGCATTCTGCTCTTCTTAACGAGGTTTGCCCTCGGGAGAAACTAGTTAGCCAGAGCCTAACCCGTTGAGGGTTTCATCAAAGGCTAGCTAACCTGGGGGAAGGGAAATACTCAATTCCAGCCCACTTCAATCTTCCTGTCACACTGAAGGAGGGTGTGGGGACCAAGAAGCACAGGGGCAGTTCACACAGTCAAGGCACAGGCTCACTAGAAGACTGAGACCTACTCAGAGTGCTAGAGAATGCTTCTCCTCTCCCCAGCACCTTGCCACCACAGTACTAAAGGTCTGTTTACAGTAGGACACTTTACCCAGCATATCATGTCCAGCTATCAGGAAAAAGTTACAAGGCAAAACAACACAACGTGGAAAGACAGAGCAAACCTCAGAACCAGAACCAGATACGGCAGGGAGGTTGGAATTAGCAGACAAGAAATTTAATACAACCGTAAGTAAAATGCTAAGGGAGCTAATGGATAAAGTAGACAGCATGCGGGAACAGATGGGCAATGAAAGCAGAGAGATGGAAATGCTGAGAAAGAACCAAAAAGAAATGCCAGAGATGACAAACAAAACACTGTAACAGACGTGAAGGACGTCCTTGATGGGCTTATTAGCAGACTGGACA